CCCCGGTGGGCGCAGGCGGGGCCTGGCGGGAGGGCGAGCTCGGGGCTGCCGGCCTGCGGCGCCGGGACCTGCGGCCTGGGACCCCCTTCCCCCCGTCCCTTCGGCATCGCCCGCTGATTTCGCAGCAAAACTGCGGGCCTTGTTGATGGGCGCCTCTGGCTCCGCTGCAGGGAGAGAAGCGGCGACGGAGAGGAAGGCAGAGCTGCCTCTCGAGTCTAACGTGGCCCGAGATGCGTTCACATCTGTCCCCATCACGACATATCGCACGCGTCGGTTTACAGCCCTCCTTCCCCTCTTGTTCTTCGCAGGCTGACGCAGGTGAGATGGAGTCGCTACAACCCCAGTTTCATAGAGCCAGAAGTGAACAAGGAATTGTATCAGAAACCTTGGGAGGAGCTGTCTGAGGAGGAAAAGGAAAAAATGGAGCTTAAGGCTGTTCAACCCATAAAAGCTGCTCCTCCCAGTGTCTCCAGCTCTGTGTTCAGCGACCCTATGATCAGGTCAGAGAAAGCATCATCTCCTCCTCTCTTACAGCTAGGTCCCGTGGAGCCAAAACCTTGGGAGCTGCGCTGTCCTCCCCAGCCTTCGCTCGCTGTGCTGCCCGGTGCCTTCTGTTACAGCACAGTCCCTTTATTCGGGTTAATCTTTTCCCACAAAGCCAGGCCATTGACTGACGGCGATTAGAGATAATTACAGCAGATCTAGCAGCACCCAGACTTAACCACGGGAACAACACAAGGTGGGGGCTTATTTCTGTGAGTGATAAAAATCAGAATTTAAATCAGATCGCATCTGGCTTTGTGTTTACAGTAAATTCACCAATATGATGATGAAGGATGGAAATAAAATACTGGCCAGAAGCCTCATGGCTCAGGTGAGAACTCATGTTTCTTCTCGCTATTATGTTAAAACAATACAAAATGGAAGGCTGGGACGCCAAGCCCACTGGAATTAGGAATTACCAGAACTTGGGTCATCTGTGCGGTCCTAACGCGTTTCCCTCCGCACACACAAGATTCTCACCGTTATTTACCTGATCAGACGTACATTTTGTACAAGCCCCAGGCTCATTCAGTTCACAGATCAGGTGGTGAGAGCTTAATGGAGAACGTTCTCTTTCTACTCTTCAGTGTCTCTTGGACCTTATGTAGAATCATGGAACCATTTAGGTTGGAAAAGACCCTTAAGATCATCGAGCCCAACTGTTAACCTAACACTAGCAAGTCCACCACTAAACCATAAATTCAGAATATACCCTTAAAGGCATAATTTTCTCAAAAGATCTTCCTTCCAGCTCTCTTTCATGCCTTGTCTCCTGTATAACTTGCCAATGAAGTCCCACAAATGTGTCACCTATAGGGCACAGCTTTGACCCCTGCTCTGAGGTACAGTAACTGGTGTTAGCTGGTGGTCCCATCTGGTCTGTTCCAGCCCATGGAACAGGGACACACACTGCCCAAGTGTTCCCCAAGTAACTGCTGCTTCCTTGTGACAGAAAACCAGGCAGGCTCTGGGCTCACGAGTCCGGGCTCTGGAGGGGAGGATGCTTAGTGCACACAGACCTGCATTCCTGTCTCCGCTTTGTCCCTGCCCTCCCCTGGCTCCTGGCCCAGGTCTGTGCTGCTCGGCCTCCTTGCCCCAAATGCGATGTCCAATAAGAGACTGAAGAGCTGGAAGAGGGGGAAGTAAAACTTAAAAGAATCCCTGACTGGGCTGTTGCCTACAGGGCTGGAAAACCAGCTGCAGGCTGAAGTGAAAATGGGGTGCTTGTAAAAGTGACGTAACTTCGTGGAGTGGGATGACCCATCTGCTCTGCATGTCTCCTTTCATGTCTTTGTCCCAAGACTCTAGAGGCCATTAAGAGGAAGCAGCTGGAGAAGTACCACAAAGCTCCAGAAGATGAGAAGGGGACAATTGAATGCAACCCTTATGTCATTTTCCACCAGGCTCTGAAAAACTGCCAGCCCATCATTGGGCTCAGCAGCATCACAAAAGGAGGCAAAACCTACCAGGTGAAACGGGGGGGGACTGGGAGCACATCTGGTGGGGACAGAATTAGCTAGGGAAGCAGATGAACTGGTTCCCACCCCTTCAGCTCAAGCTTTCCTCCTTGGAAAGAGAGCCGCTTTGCAATCTGGATTAAAGCAGCACCTAAGAAACAGTCCTGGGACTACCAGTCCCATCCTCTCAGCTGCATCATGTTGCTTGGGTGGAGGCCCCAAAGCCCTGGGGAGGGTCAGCGTAGCAGAAGAAGCAATTAGACACTGTGATATTTGAAACACGGGCAGAACCTGTCTAAGTAGGGGCTCTGCAACGCTCGAGACCTGATGGAGAAATGGGATGCGGAGGTGTGTCTCTGTCAGGGGAGTGGTGACCATCTCCCACTTCTTGCTAGCACAAACCAGCCTGGATCCAGTTCCCAAATAGGCCAGAGGTCCTTACCGAGGCCAGCGGCTGCTGGCAGTACCCAAGGCGGATCAGAATTTCCATTTTGGTAGCAATGGCCAGTTTCTATGGACAGAGGAGGTGAATTGGCACAGATCAGCTGTTGGAAGCTGGTCTTACTGCAGAGAGCAGCACACTGCCACTGGAGTCACAGCACGGTGTAAATCTGCACGTGTCCAGCTGTATCTGTGTGACTGCTGGAGCAGAGCAGCTTACTGCACCCTCGCAGTGTGGTAGCTGGTAATGGTTTAAACCTTCCCCAGGTCCCGGTCCCTCTGAAGGACAATCGGAAGCGCTTCCTGGCCATGAAGTGGTTAATCACCGAGTGCAGGGAGAACAAGAACCGTCGGATGCTGATGCCTGAGAAGCTCTCGCAGGAGCTGCTCCAGGCCTTCAACAACGAAGGGCCCATCATCAAGAAGAAGCACGTGCTGCACAAGATGGCAGAGGCCAACCGGGCTTACGCCCACTTCCGCTGGTGGTAGGGACTGTGCACGGGACACGGCGCCACCGCCCCCGCGGCCTGGTGAGCAGAGCCCCGGGGCCGCCTGCCTGGGAGAGGCTGGGGAGAAGAGGGAAAGGTGGAAGATCCCTTCCAGACGGCTGCTGAACTAAGCCAGGGAAAGCTCATCCGAGCCCCGCAACGTTCATTTCCTTTGTGCTTGTTTGGATGGGGAGGGGGGAATCTGAAAGAGTTACCGACCCCGGCACGGATGCTCTAGTTCTTTCGTAATCACTTTCCTGCGAAGAGAAGCCTTAGATGTTTTTCTTAGAGCAATGCTGTACAAAATAATCCACTTACCTGTTTCCTGGGGACTTTTAAGTCTCTCTGCTCCTGTAATCAGCGATGTTTTTGGCTGCACAGCTAAAAGCAGAGCTGGATTTTTTTTTCCACACCATAACCAGCCTTAACATGATTGGTACAAAAGGCAATAAAAGGCCCTTTTTGATTTTTGGTTCTGGTCATCAGCAACATTGTCTGCACAGATTTGATGGGAATATTAACAGAAAAAATAAAACCAGTTTTATGGGGAAGGTTTCTCCATTCCAAACCTTTGTCTCTGTTGCCTGAATCTCACGCTGCTCTTTCCAGCTACCCTGGTTGTGTAAAGCCACACTGACACCCTGCATCGGAGGAGAAAATCATCATCACAGCCTTAAGGCTTCAGTCAGGAACAACTTTTAAGTGTTGTTCATAGCTCAGCAGCTGTGTAGAGAGAAAGCAGGGCACGTTAGTGGAAAACTTTTATTAGAAAAAATCCTTCAATAGACTATTTTGTTTCCTTTCTTCCTCTCCCATTCTCATAATAAACATACCATAGTTGAAACTTGCTAAATTCTGAAAAAACATGACAGTTATTGTATAAAATTTATAAAACCTGTTCCTAGCTACATGTGCTCAGGGATCTGTCCTGCTGCAGGCTGCCCTGTGGCAGGTATTGGTGGCTCGTGACCCGTGGGGGAGGCTGCGTGCACGCAGGTGCAGCCAGTGTGCTGGAAGGAGGCTGGGAAGAACAGCACTTGGTTGAGCTGTTTGTGAGGCCACAGTGTTTTTTGTGACTTGTCCCAGAGAACCAGGTACAACCTGAGCAGTGAAAGGTTTCCCCTCTGCCTCCCGCAGCTCCGCTGGCTCTCGGGTGAAACCAAAATGCTCTCAGCCTAAACTGTGCTTTCCTTAACACTCATATAAAATGCTGGTTTGAGCTAGAAGCCTTCCTTGCCCTTTGCGGGCAGCAGCCCAATATTAGACAAAATCAGCGGAAGAACTTGCTGGGTTAAATATGCCCTGCCCTCCCCACCTCTCCAAACCCCCCGTCAGGCTAGCACCAGTTGCAGCCTGGCAGTTACGTGCCCAGAGGCTCTAGCCGGTATAAATCCTATTTACAGGAAGTGCTAGAAAAACATGAAAAGAAATTCAAACTTGGTATGAAGCCTGCTGGTGAAAGTGCTGGGGACGTCTCTCCACCTCTGCTGGAGAGAGGTTAATCCGTCACTTCGCTGTAATAGTATTTCTGGGCAGCATCCGTCATCTTCCAGTCAGCAGCCCGAAACTCGATGATCTCCAGGAGCAGGAGCTGGGACAGGGAGCTGAGCCCCTCCTGCAGAAGGAAGCCGTCTCGGAGGAGGGAGAAGAGCTCATCCATCCGCTGGGAGTTCATCTTCTCCAGCTGCTCGCCGATGCGATGGAGCTGTAGGACCAGGCAGTCCACCTTCAGAAGGAAGAGAAGATGGCTGAGTACGAAGGGCCGGGGAGGTTTGGCACATCTCTGTGGAGGTCCCCATCAGTCACTTAGGGACCGACTCATCCCGTTCCCTCCGTTCTGGATTTCCAATGTCCCAGATTGAACTAGTTTGGTTGCTATGAGGTCCCGGTTCTGCCTCCCCCAAGTCGCTGTGATCCAGGAGGCAGGAGAGGCTGAATCTGTTCTGGTCTGTTCTAGAAAAAGCGCTTGGAAAAGCACATCCTGAACTCCCCAGACAAAACTGCCAGAGAAATGCACCTGCAGCAGGTGGAAAAAATGTTAATTTTCTGCAGGATGTCCATGAGGAGATGGCAAGGCTGATGCCGAGGCTGGAGTAAGGAGGTGCCTCCAAGAACAGAGGGAAGTGGCTGGAACATGTGCTAAAGCTCTTAGAAAGTCTGGTGATTTGCAGGAAACAGGGGCACTGACTCGGTCTTTGGAGAAGAGGGGAAGGCGGATGAGCTGCAGGGGCGGGAGGGTTGTGCCGAGATGGAGAAAACCCCCAAGGGCCCATCCAAGGGCCCCTACATTTTACAGGAACCCCTCGCCCGAGGGGCGACTCAGCCATGCCGCGCGCAGGCTGCCGCACACCCAGGCGTGTGCGAAGCTCCAGCTGCAGGAGAGCCTTCTCCAGCCCGCTGTGGTCTGGCACAGCATCAACGCTGCCGGCCCCGGCAGGTCAGCGGCAGCTGCAGAAAGCATTGCACAGCACGTCCCGGCCCCCGTGGGGACACGGAGCCGCCCTGCACACCACGGTCACGCAGCTATCTGCCGTCACCTCCCACGGCTGTGGTGCCTTGGCAGGTGAGTGCGACAGCTGCTTTTCCAGATGTTCAGCAATGAGGGCTGCTGGAAAAGCAGCTGGTTTCTGTGCAAACGGGGGAGAGTCGTTACCTGCGTTTTTCTCACAGGACAGGAGGTGAACCTGCGGGGAGACAGCCCCTGCTTCGAGGGATGGCAGGGTCACAGCCTGCACCTCCATCCTGCTTCCTTCTGGGCTGCAAACCCTCCTGCCCTGGGTCTCCTTCAGCACATCCCGGGGAGGCAGCTCTCCCTCCTCGGCACCAGGACGGGGAGACCGCATCCCGCCGGGCTGTGCTTTTTGCTGGTCCTTGGCAGGACAACGGGAGCCTTAGCAGCCCTCTCCCCTGCACCCACCTCTTCCTCCTTCCGCAGGCTGTCGGGCTGTGCCAGCCGGAACAGACAGTCGTAAACAGGGTTCACCAGAGCCATCATGGGCATGTTGTTCACCTGTAAGGAGGCAGGAGCCATTGTCAGCTTGGGGCCAGAAAGGGAGGAGTCCGCAGCTATTTTAAATAGTTCCCTTGCTGCCCTTCAAAGAAGGGAGCAGAGTTTAGTTGTGCTGCCAAATGCTGCATTGGTGGGATTTACGCAGGAGACCAGACGTTTGAGTCTCCAGGAGCCAGAGAAGCTGAACAAATGGTGTAAAAAACATCTATTTTTAAATGTAAACAGGTAGTCATGGGAAATACACTTGTTGCAACAGCATTTTTCCTGCCTGCAGCTCTACTTGCATCATTTTTACATCTACTCCAAGCAGGCATCCGAGTACACACGCTGCAGCGAAGGCTTGCAGACAAACTCCATCAGTATGTGGGCTAGAAATTATGTGAGCACCCACGGGTCCCCCCCCGGGACCTCATACCAACCAAACTAGTTCAATCTGGGACATTTGGGAGCAGGCAAATCAGGGGATTTCAAACAGCAGGTACAAAATGAGGAAGCTCAGACTTTGTGACTGTTCCCAGAGACGGCTCTGCCTCTCCGAGCCTGTTTGCTTGCCTGCAGGTAGCACCAGCCCCGGCAGCATCCTCATGCTGAGAACCGGCTCTGGCCCCCACTGCCAAGGCACGGCCCTGGGGCTCCATCCAACACCCCAACACCCGACGTCTTTGGATGCCCAGGCCCTTCTGGCACCCCTAGGCAGCAGCAGCCGGGTGCTCCTGCTCCGGCTCCTTACCCGCAGGTAGTCGAAGATGTTGCAGATGAAGGTGACGTAGCAGATCCACGCCTGGAGCGAGCGGGTGCGCAGCTCCTCCCTGTCCTTGTACTCCTGCTGCAGCCGGTTTCGCAGGCTACTCCGGAAGAAGCTCTTGCCGGCTCTTTT